GGTGGTGGCTGGGGGCAGCAGCGGGATGTGCTCCAGGTCCGTGTCATCACAGTAGACAGAGGTGCCAATGCACAGGCAGAGCAGGCAGCTGGGCAGGGCTGGGGTGCAGAGGCAGCCCTTGGCATGGCACAGCTCCCCCCTGTCCCCCCCTGAAACCCTCCCCAGCAGGCAGGGAGGTGGGAGGACATGCCAACCCCAACCCAACCCCTGGAGTCTTTGGCACCCAGAGCTGTCACAGCCCCAGCACCTTCATCAAGTGAAACAGCCCAGGGCAGCTCATCAAGGGAAGGGCCAGAATTCCCCAGCCAAAAGAGCTGCTAATAAATGAAAGTGCTCAGGGCCAAATACCTCCCCCAGGAGAGGGGGAGCTGCAAGGCTGCCAAGCACAGCAGCAGGACACCCAGGGCTCCTTGCCCCCCACATTTTTTTTTCCACAGAAGGAAATGGGAAGAAAAGAACCAGTTTTGCATTGAGGAAAACATCTGGCTCAGCTGCATGAGGGTCCTGGCAAGCTGGGCAGGGGTGGCAGGAGGGGTAAAACTGTGTCCCCCCCACGCATGTGCTCCCCCTCCTCTCCCCCAGTGCCTGTGAGACTCAGCATCCATTAGTGGGGGAGTTCAAAGCAGCAAGGCAACAATTTCCCTTTGCCTCCTACTTAATTTGTCCCAGTCCAGAGTGACAGAAAATGAATAAAGATATTTATCCCTCGCTACAGGATTTTAATTGTCACTAATCTAATTGCTACTCTGTCCTCCTGTCGCAATGCCCTGCTCATTAAAATGTTGCTGCTTTGGTGGAGCTCTTGTTTCCCAGAAATGTCTCTCTGCAGCCCTCCTGCCTGCTGTGTGATAAGACTCACCCCCAACACCCCTGGCAGAGCAAATAACTGCTGCTGTCTGCTGGTGACAAAAGGATCTGCTCCCTTTTTTCCAGAGCACCAGCCCTGCCAGCCCTGGGATATGTGGCTGCATCCCATGGGAACCAAATCCCCCTGGGTGCCCCTTTGAGCTGCACCCAGGGGTCTGCACTCACCCTGCCCGGGGCTGGGTGCTGGGTGGAGGGGGCCAGCAGTGACTGGAGGCTGCAGCTTTGGGGTTTCAGCCGTGGCACCCACGTTTGGGTGGGCTGCAGGGTCCTTGGGGCGAGGAGCCAGGGTGCCCACCTCGATCTGCAAACACAGCCTGGGTGTGAGGGCTGGGGGGGCTGAGTGAGTCCTCACACTCCACACCAGCATAGGACATCCTGGTCCAGGGCACTAGGTAGGTCTTATTGGAAAGCCCCCTTCCCTGTTTGCCCAGAGGGATGCAGGAAGCCTCATGTCCTGGCTTTCCTGCAGCAATGCTCTGGTCAGGTGAGCTGGAGGAGGTCAGGATCAGGTAAAGCCTTTCCTGCCACCAGCAAGGGCAGCGGAAGAGCCATCAGGGCTCGTAGGCTTGTGCAAGAGGCTGGTTCTCCAGCTGTGCCCCCTCCATCCCTCAGACCAAGCCCCTTTCTTGGGATGCATCCCATGAAGACCCAGGCACCAGGTGCTCTCCCATGTCCCCCTCACCTTTGGACCAAGGTCACTGTAGTCATAGAGCTCCTCGTAGTTGCTCAGGTCAAGGATCTCACCATAGTTATCCAATGTCAGGTCATAGTTGTCCAGGTCCACATTTTCATAGAGTGCAAAGTCAGCTTTTAGCTTCTCTGCCTTCCTTCTCTCCTTCATGGGTGGAACAGCCCAAGCTGCCCCCAGACACAGGCTGGTGATGCCCAGCCAGGCCAGAGTCCACATCCTACACCCAGCCAGGGTCACTGCTCCAAAGGCAGCACTGGGGACCATGGTCCTGGGGGGCACAGAGCTCCAATGCTGGGCAGGATGGGGCCGAGTGCCCTGAAATAGTTACAAGGCCGTGAAAGCAAAGAGGGATGGGAGGGCAGGACAGATGCCCTGACCACAGCCACCCTGCTCTGCAGCCCTGGTGGGGACTGGGGGACAAGTGGCCTCCGCCCCCGGGAACATCCCACCATCCCTCTTCTTTTTCAGCCCATTTCACACTCGGCTGAACAAGCTCTTCTGGAGAGGCCCCAAGGCTGAGCAGGGCTTCCCTGCTTCCCAGCTTTCCCAGCCCAGAGGAGGCAGTGAGGGGGTCAGAAGGTGATGAGGGAGCCAGGGTCCTGCTCAGGCCCCCCCCTCGGTGATGGGTGAAGCTGGTCGCTGGCCCAAGAAACCCAGCAGGCAGCAGAAACCACCCCGAGAGTCCTGGCACTCTGTTGCTTTCCCAGTCAGTCCCCCTCGTCCCTTCCAAACCCAGCTTCAAATCCTGGGATACTGTTTCTCAGCCTCCAGCATCCTGGAAAAGCAGGTGCCAGGGGCCTGGAGGCCACAAAGTCCCTGGGACTCGACCCTGCACACGGAGGTGCCTGCACAGGGACACCCCCAGTTCTGCAGGGGGAGCCTGGCAGCCCCCCCAGCCAAACCTGCTGGTGTCCCTTCCCAAAGGGATCTCACTCCCACCTGAAACCAGCCCCTGTGTGCAGGTCCCCAGCACCCACCCTGCCCTCTGCACTGCAGCATTGCCCACCCATTCCTCCTGCCACCAGCAAGGGCAGCGGAAGAGCCATCAGGGCTCGTAGGCTTGTGCAAGAGGCTGGTTCTCCAGCTGTGCCCCCTCCATCCCTCAGACCAAGCCCCTTTCTTGGGATGCATCCCATGAAGACCCAGGCACCAGGTGCTCTCCCATGTCCCCCTCACCTTTGGACCAAGGTCACTGTAGTCATAGAGCTCCTCGTAGTTGCTCAGGTCAAGGATCTCACCATAGTTATCCAATGTCAGGTCATAGTTGTCCAGGTCCACATTTTCATAGAGTGCAAAGTCAGCTTTTAGCTTCTCTGCCTTCCTTCTCTCCTTCATGGGTGGAACAGCCCAAGCTGCCCCCAGACACAGGCTGGTGATGCCCAGCCAGGCCAGAGTCCACATCCTACACCCAGCCAGGGTCACTGCTCCAAAGGCAGCACTGGGGACCATGGTCCTGGGGGGCACAGAGCTCCAATGCTGGGCAGGATGGGGCCGAGTGCCCTGAAATAGTTACAAGGCCGTGAAAGCAAAGAGGGATGGGAGGGCAGGACAGATGCCCTGACCACAGCCACCCTGCTCTGCAGCCCTGGTGGGGACTGGAGGACAAGTGGCCTCCGCCCCCGGGAACATCCCACCATCCCTCTTCTTTTTCAGCCCATTTCACACTCGGCTGAACAAGCTCTTCTGGAGAGGCCCCAAGGCTGAGCAGGGCTTCCCTGCTTCCCAGCTTTCCCAGCCCAGAGGAGGCAGTGAGGGGGTCAGAAGGTGATGAGGGAGCCAGGGTCCTGCTCAGGCCCCCCCCTCGGTGATGGGTGAAGCTGGTCGCTGGCCCAAGAAACCCAGCAGGCAGCAGAAACCACCCCGAGAGTCCTGGCACTCTGTTGCTTTCCCAGTCAGTCCCCCTCGTCCCTTCCAAACCCAGCTTCAAATCCTGGGATACTGTTTCTCAGCCTCCAGCATCCTGGAAAAGCAGGTGCCAGGGGCCTGGAGGCCACAAAGTCCCTGGGACTCGACCCTGCACACGGAGGTGCCTGCACAGGGACACCCCCAGTTCTGCAGGGGGAGCCTGGCAGCCCCCCCAGCCAAACCTGCTGG